AGCTTAAAAAAAATCGTAAGTTAAAGTATAAGTGCGTCAGATTGAGGCACTTAAGTAATACGTTTTTAAGTGCCTCAGACTGTACAGGCATTGGTGATATATAAAACTCCCTGACACAACTACCACCCCACTCTCCAAGAAGGTAGGGAGGAAAACAAAGTCCCTCTCCCTCAAGATAGGAAGGAAAAGTGCATCTCAAGGCCCTCGACCAACCAACACACTCAACAATATCCAGGACCAGAGTTCGGTGTGTTGTAGTGGTGGCCTAAGCTTGGTATTACGCGGTTAATGGTTGGTAGAGCCTTAGTGATCTAGGCTGTGATTGGCTGGGACACCTACACCATGCTGTTACACGGGTCCTGGTGGTAGCGCTGGTAAACTGCTGCCTCGAATGGGTCATTAAAGTATGTTTTTTGGGTGTATTGTGATGGTAATGACGCGAGTGTGTGTGTGTGTGTGTGTGTGTGTTTATATATTTCCTTGTGTGCATTTTACAAAGATACACAGCAAACACTCGCACACACACACACACACACACCTGGAATTATCTACAGCATTACAACAAGTTATATATAACCCTCATCCCTACATCATAAAACTACAACCACAACACAAACACACTAATCCGGAATCAGGGCTCAAAAGGCTCCCCCCCCCCGTCCAATCAATGTTTCCAGCCCAATCTCCACTAATCACAGGGGGGAGTCCCGGGCCAATCAGGAGCCAGATGTTCTTCATATTCAGTGATTGGATGATAACGTAACAGATGAAAAAACAGCAACACAGACAGATAGACAAACTTATTTTACCAGAATCAGTATATAGAACTTCCTCTCTGAGTAAGATATTGATATATTTATTAAGAAACAAGAGCCTCCAGAGATAAGCACACACACACACACACACACACACACACACACACACACACACCTCGTCAATTTACAATTCTTAATGCGGCAGAGATGTGAGCGACTCGTCAGCTGATCACGTCAACACACGAGATGTAAACAAAACGCACGTGGTGGGACATAAACACTAATTACTATCCCTCCCCTTCCCTCCCATCACGGTACATGAGGCAGCTAACGGTGGCGGTGACAGCTCTAATATGCGTCAACATCCTCTCCCCCTCCTACACTACCAAGCTAAAGTGAGCACAATACACTGCTACATGACCACTACAGTCGCCAGTCAGGCCTTGGAACTGTTTATCACACTACAGGACGGCGTGATCACTAGTCCAATATGTCCCCAGTGACCCAACCTAGTTCTAACCAATAGGGGGTCAACTTGAGGGCCCTGAGTCTAATGGCCTCGAATGACTCCCAATACTGATGGTTAGCTTAATTAGTCGCGGGGCCTTATTGGTCTGGGGCCTAGTAGTACTGGGGGCTTATTAGTCGTGACTCGTGGGGTCCAAATGACATTCTTACACACACACACACACACACCACCTGAACAACGCCACAGCTTACTGGTGAAATTTAAAACAACCACAACCACCACTACTACAACAGCTACAACCACCACTACAACAACTATCTTGCTCAGGTGGTGGAGGTAGACGTCTAGTGAGGCTGTGAACGTGGAGGAGGAACGAACTGAACGGGTGAACACGAAAGGATGGCGGTGGTACTTGGAAAGGGGAAGGGGGAGGGGTGAGGGGAATGGTGGAGGGAGAGATGGTAAGGGTGGTGGAGGGGTGTAGTTGATGGTGTAGGTGGAAGGGTGTAGGTGGAGGGGTGTAGGTGGAGGGGTGTAAGGGTAGGTGGATGCTGGAGGCTACTAACACTGACCCACACTAAAATATTCAGCGGGGGTCACAGCTGCCGCATAGGCCTACCCACCCACCGTTATATAAGTGCCGCCGTGGGCTAACAGAACGCCAGTGCGGGCAGAAGACGAGCGAACGTTTGTAAGCCTGTGTGTGTGTGTGTGTGTGTGTGTGTGTGTGTGTGTCCATTAAATAAAATCCCATTATGCCTCTCATTAACGTAAACAAATCCCTCTACCTCCCCCATCAGCGTCCAAACAAAATCCCCCCAAAATAATGTACGTACTAAACAAAATCCCCCCGAGTGACTTACACAAATCCGCCCGTAAAACAACACAAAATCCCTCGCAATCATGCAAAAATCCCACAATCCCCCCGAGAGCTTCAGAGCCAAATACCTGGCCAGCACGAACCCAAATTCTCCGCATATTGCACTGAATACCGGGTCATGCATTGTCGGGGTGTGAGGTGTGGTGTGAGGAGTGAGGTGTGAGGGATGAGGTGAGGTGTGAGGAATGAGGGATGAGGTGAGGGGTGAGGAGTGAGGGATGAGATGGTGTGAGGGATGAGATGAGGTGTGAGGGGTGAGGAGTGAGGGATGAGGTGAGGAGTGAGGTGTGGTGAGGTGTTAAACAAGAGGAAAAACGAACCTGAAGATAGTGAGGCGGTTCTCTCTCTCCCTCCTACTTCCCTCACTCTGACCATCTCTTCCTCCCTCCCTGCCCTGACCTCATCCTTCTCTCTGACGGAGCCCCCCCCCCCCTCTCACTCACTCCGTCCCTCCTTGATGAGCCAGCTGTTGGAGTCACACACACACACACACGTGGTACAAACACACAAAGGCGGTGCACAAATATACTAAGAGGTGGTACAGATACTCACACACACAGTTGGTATACACAGACACGCACATACACAGCTGGTACACACACACAGCTGGTACAAACACTCACACAGCTGGTACACACTCACACAGCTGGTACACACACACACAGCTGGTACAAACACTCACACAGCTGGTACACACACACACACACAGCTGGTACACACTCACACAGCTGGTACACACACACAGGTGGTGCCTCAGCTAGACGTATGCCAGATGGCTGGGTCGACCCTCTCTGCCTCACACCATTAACCAAGTTTATTCCTTTCCTTCTATTTCTTCTTCTCCTTTATTCACTATATTCTTATTATATCTTTCCTTCTCTCAATATTCTTCACCTACGATATTTTACTAATGATTATCTACTACTTTCTTATCTCACCTGTTATTCTTTATCAGTTATTCACCAATTACACTTTTACTACTCATTTCATCATCTCTATTCTCCTCTGTGTATTCTCTATCTACGATCGTTCATCAACCCTCGTCTCTATCTCACTCATTTACTTAACTATGACTCACACATCTTCACTACACATTCACGTATAAGAACGACGCCTCACATTCACCATCATTAGAATGTTGTATGATCGAGGGAATGTTCCTGTTTCTCATCCACTTTATTGATATGTATGTGTGTGTGTGTGTACGTGTTATCAGGTCTATCATGTCGCTTTCCTGTTATTCACTACACTTCTCTCTCTCTCTCTCCTACACACGCTTTCATTTTATTTACTGACATAAGAACAAAAGATAGAGTGAGTGAGTGAGTCAAGCGATACTGTAGCAGAGGTTCACCCGCCTTGTAATACACCAGCTGAAGGATGTTCTAAATGATGTGATCAGTGGAGAGAGAGCATCACCCCACCCCCCCCCCATCACACCACAATAGGTAGTTATGATATATGACAGTAATGACCACCTGTTAAGAATATTATTGTTTACGATGAAGCAATAACCTAGTGTGTGTGTGTGTGTGTCAGCAGGGAGTGGGACAAGCGGCTGACAGTACACCACACCAGAGCTGACGTGGACAACAAACACAGCGGGGACACACACTCAGACGACAAGTACAAATAAACACGAGTCAAGTTTTACATCAACACAGGATAGAGTAGAGAGAGACGTGTATGGATAGGACCGCCCGAGCTATCCTCCTCCTCCTCCTCCTGGATAGTACCAAGCAACTGACTGGATGGATAATTTAACAGGTGGATAGAGTTTAACAGAGGGATGGATAGGTTAGGATGGGATAGGTTAGGACTGGGGACCCATTTGACCAGTCACCGTGTAAAGTGGTCTAAGATCCGGGTTGTGTTGGTGTGAGCAGGTCCGTGTCACGCTGCTGTGCCGCCAACATGTAAACAAACACACGCGTTAAGGAGCCATTACAACCACCTCTCTCACTACGCTTGTCTGTCTGTCTGGTGTGAGAGAGAGAGAGAGAGAGAGAGAGAGAGAGAGAGAGAGAGAGAGAGAGAGAGAGAGAGAAAATTTTCCATCAAATAAATAGTTATTACTTACTTATATCATTCACTAATAAACATGCGAACTGTAAAGATAATCTCTCTCTCTCTCACCTTTACTATCTCCCCCTTCTACCTGGTGACCTAGCATGACACACTACAGTAAGTCAACACCTGTACACGACCTACCTGAGACTCCTGCCCCATATCTGAAATAACTCAACCCTTTGATGGCCACTGACTATACACCTTTACCTGCCTGCCGCTCCCCACCTGTAATCACACACACCAGGTACACATTACACCCCCCCCCCATGATGGACCCATTTCTCTCCATATTGCAGACCTTTACAACAATCTACAGACCATTTTTTCTTAGCATTTTCATCACTAATAAACTTACGAACTATTCTTTGTTATTTAATTATGAATTTAATTATCCAGTCGCTAGTACAGAAGGAACAAACTTGCCCGTTGTTTGGTATTGAAAGTCACACTGGGCACACTCTCTTTAGGTGTCTCGGGCCGGGGACTGAACCCAGGACACTGTGGTGAGAGAGACACGCGTTACCTCTACTCCACCAATGTTTAATTAGAGGGAAATACTGAAGGTCGGAGGGGGAGAAGGGAGGGAGAGGGGGAGAAGGGAGGGAGAGGGGGAGAAGGGAGAGGGGGAAGGAGGGAGAGGGGGAGAAGGGAGAGAGAGAGAGGTAAGTACAACACATTGAAATACAAAAAATAAACACAACAGAGCCACAAAAATCCATTAAGGGTTCATTAAGTTCCACCATTCACGGACAGGCACTCAAAAAGTTCGGTCAGAATTTTTCCCTTAAGTTACGACCCTAATTACCGGACGAATAGCGGCACTCACCTGTCCTACATCAATAAAGACAAGTTAACGTATACGCAATGAGGTCACTTATCACTCTGACGTCACTTATCACTAATACGTCACGTTATCTTCTAGTTCGATAGTGATCCAGGCGGTGGTGATGTCATGGTGCAAGGGCGTCTAGAGTGACTCCTGATGTCACCCCGTGTCTAGCTGATGACATCACCATGCACACTACTACTACAACGACCTCCCCAAGATATGCTCTCTCTCTCTCTCTCTCTCTCTCTCTCTCTCTCTCTGTTTATTTCTAATCTTTCTCACTCACTATCTGTTTATGGGTGTTCAATTAAAACTATCTACCATGAGAGAGAGAGAGAGAGAGAGAGAGAGAGAGAGAACAACAACACCACCATCATCTCGTTAAGACCTCACATTCTTGCCCATTGTGCCTGGTGCTGGGGTGAAGGCAATTGGCACGAGACCCTAGTACTGGTAAGGGGTCATTCTCTCTCTCTCTCTCATGGGGAGGTGTTGAGGGTCTATCTTAGGTGTCCTGTAGTGATGGTTCTTGTGGTGTCTCCTACTGTCAACACACACACACACATGGTCATTACACCTGTGAGAGACGCGAGGAAACATGTGGGTGAACAAAGGTGATCAATACGGTACAAAGTGTGTACAGGGAGACCAAGGACCTCTCCCCCTCACCTCCCTGTCTCCCTCCTCCTGCCTCTCCCTCCTCCTGCCTCTCCCCCTCACCTCCGTGTCTCCAGGCTCTAACTTACACTTCCTCCCTCACTCACCCACGCCCCGATGCTCTTACCCTCTCCCCTCTCTTCTTTCCTCTATCTTACACTTTCCATTTCTCTATCTCCTTCTCTCCCTCCATCTCCTTCTTTCTCCCTCTCTCCCTCCATCGTTCTCCACCAGTACTATTGCATCCGGGATGAAGTGACATAATGATCCTAGGTTCGTGTTGCCATTATTTCAGAATATCTGTACCTGTATCTACACCTGTACCTGTATCTATACCTGTACCTGTATCTGTACCTACACCTGTATCTACACCTGTACCTGTACCTACACCTGTATCTACACCTGTACCTGTATCTACACCTGTATCTACACCTGTACCTGTATCTACACCTGTACCTGTATCTACACCTGTACCTGTATCTACACCTGTACCTGTATCTATACCTGTACCTGTATCTGTACCTACACCTGTATCTACACCTGTACCTGTATCTGCACCCGTACCTGTACCTACACCTGTACCTACACCTGTACCTGTAATGTTGTTTGTAAACGAGTCAAGAGAAGGTAATCATTACTTACCTGTCTTCCTCATTAACACTCCCAGCAGCGACCCTCCATTACCACACTCACTGGCAACTTACCTCCCTCTCCCTCCCTCTTTTTTCTGTTGCAAGTAGAAGAGGGGCTAAGGGGTGAGAGGGGAGAGGAGAGTGGGTGAAGAGAAAGAGGGAGGGGAGCGGAGAGAGGGGGGAGAGTAGGTCAGGATGGAGAGGGAAAGGAGATGAATGAGAGGAAAATGGTGAGGGATGAGGAGACGAGAGAGTATAAAAAGAGAGGAGGAGGAGGAGAGGGTGAAGAAAGGAGGGGAAACAAAGGTAAACAAAAACGGGAGAGAGAGTAAGAGTGAATAGAGTGGGTAAGAGAGAGGAGGGAAGGAAGGAGAGAAGAGGAAGGGAGGCGAAGAGCGAAATAAGAGAGGGAGGAAAAGAAGAGAAGGAATGAGAGGAGAAGCCAATAAAGATACACACACACAGCCAGTTCCACCCTCAACCCACCCCCTCACACCCTCAACCCCACCCCTCAACCCCTCACACCCTCAACCCACCCCCTCACAGCTCAGGCTTCCGGTACTCAACAGAATAAGATCCGGATTCACAGTGACACGAACGACGACGATGACGAATAAACCCCTCGAACCCGACCTATAACTCACTGACTCACTTTAGCTACAACAACAACAAAAACTAAACAAAATGGCGTCAGAATTGTATCAAGACTCTACATTCCCTCTGTATCTACCCCTCTAATCTTTTTCTCCCCTTCTCCCTCTCTCTCCTACCTGAAATAATACACCAATCTTCGTCTATTCCATTCTTCCTTCTTTCTTTACCCCCCCTCTCTCTCTCTTCCTCCCTCATCTCTCCCCTCCTTCTCATCTCCCTCCTCCCTCTCATCTCCCCCTCCCTCATCTCCCCCTCCCTCATCTCCCCCTCCCTCTCATCTCCCCTCTGTCTCCCCGGGGTGCCACTGTTAGTCCAGCCTTTCATCTCCCACCATCATTATTCTCAACACTTTCATTACCCTCCTCCGTTCTTCCCTTCTCTCTCTTTTATTCCTCCCTTTCTTTCTCCCCTATTTACTCCCCTTCTCTCTATGCCTGGGGTGCCTAGTGACCATACATCTGTTTCTTCACACTTACAAAATACTTCTTCTCTGTATGTATGTATGTATGTATGTATGTATGTATGTATGTATATAAGTACTGTATGTATGGTTGTAAGTATGTATGTATGTATGGCTGTAAGTATGTATGTATGTATCTTTCTCTACTAAATATTGTAATTAATGACCTCACTTTTCACTCTATCTCCCAACTTTCTCTTTATCTCCTTTCATCGTCCTCTCTCTCACTCCTTTCCCACCCCTTTCTTTTACATTACCTCCTCCATCCACGTTTCGCTCCTCCCCCCCCTCCCAGCACGATTTAGAAGACGGGGAAGAGAGAGGGAGGGGGGAGGAGGGGGAGGGGAGGGTGGTAGTAACAGCAACTTTCCGACGTCGTGGAGAGAGAGAGAGAGAGAGAGAGAGAGGTGTAATGTGCTGCTTCCTGTGTCCTGCGGAGGTGGAAGTGAGAGAGATGGGGGGTCTCGCTCACCTGTACAACACCTTCCACTAATTAACATGGACGCCTCAGTCTAGCCTAATTAATCTCTGACCTGACTCACCTGGAGAGTTGAGTCAAGGTCCCATTGACTCTGGTTAGCTTCTTGAGTCAGTGAGTCAATACCGAGTCAGTGTGGAGCGACTCGAAGTGACTTTACGTGAGTCAATGTGGAGTGACACAAGAAGTGACCACCTTACCTGAGTCAATGTGGAGTGACTCAAATGAACCTACGTAAATCAATGAGAAGTGACTCGAGTGACTTACCTGAGTCAATGTCGAGTGGTTCGTCCCTGGGTTCGTCCTCGTGGTCGGACGAGAGGGACCTGAAGAGACTCGGGGCCTCCTCATCGTCCGACTCCACACTCTCACTCCGCTGAACATGGCGGCCCCGTGCCTTCTTCCTGGTGAGTGACGAGAGAGGTGGTGAGTGACGGTGAGATAGTGAGTGACAGGAGAATAACAGGGAGATAGTGAAAAACGATGAGTGACGGGAGATAGTGAGTGACGGAGAGATGGTGAGTGATGTGAGAGATGGTGTGACAGTGTGAGTGACGAGGACACACTGGAGTGACAGCGAAGTGATAGCGAGTGACGAGGTAGAGATAGCGTGATCTTAAGCCTTCTTCTTGTCTGTGGGGGGGGCGGGGGAGGGGGGACATGCTGTGAATGACATGAGAGAGAGAGAGAGAGAGAGAGTTATGATCTCTATGTCTTATTGGGCCCCAACCTAGCCTTCAGAATTTGGGGCCCGACTTGATAACAATGATAATGGATAAATATACTGATAATGACGACAATGATGCTAATGATTAAAGATAATGATGATGATGATGATGATGATGATGATAATGATGATAATAATAGATGATAATTACAGTGACAACAAGCAGATACAAATAACAACAATAACAATAATAACAACAACAACAATAATAATAATAATAATAATAATAATAATAAAAATAATAATAATAATAATAAAATACAAGGCAAAGAAGTGTAATGACATGACACACACACACACACACACACACTTCCTTACAGTCAAAATTAGCATATTGAGATTGACGCATGGTAGGGTTGGTAGGGGTGGTGGGGATGGTGGAAGGGTTGGTAGGGATGGTGGTAGGGTTGGTAGGGTTGGTAGGGTTGGTGGGGATGGTGGTAGGGTTGGTGGGGATGGTGGTAGGGTTGGTAGGGTGGTGGGGATGGTGGAAGAATTGGTGGGGATGGTGGTAGGGTTAGTAGGGGTGGTAGGGGATGGTGGTAGGAGTGGTGGGGATGGTGTTAGGGTTGTTGTTAGAGGTGGTGGGGATGGTGAAAGGGGTGGTGGGGATGGTGGTAGGGTTGGTAGAATTGGTGGGGATGGTGGTAGGGTTGGTGGGGTGGTGGGGATGGTGGAAGGGATGGTGGGGATGGTGGTAAGTTTGGTAGGGTGTATGGTGGGGATGGTGGAAGGGTGGTGGGGATGGTGTGGGGATTGGTAGGGGTGGTGGGATGGTGGTAGGGTTGGTAGGTGGTGGGGATGGTGAGGGTGGTGGGGATGGTGGTAGGGTTGGTAGGGGTGGTGGGGATGGTGGAAGGATGGTGGGGATAGTGTGGGGTTGGTAGGGTGGTGGGGATGGTGGTAGGGTTGGTAGGGTTGGTAGGGTTTGGTAGAATTGAGTAGGGTTGGTGCAGGGGTGGTGGGGATGGTGGTAGGGTTGGTAGGGGTGGTGGGGATGGTGGGAGACAGGAGGCATAATAAGAGCATTAAGTCAAAGTTGAGGCTTAATTACATTCCAACCATGCTAAGCTTATCGACTTGTCCATAAGCTCTCTCTCTCTCTCTCTCTCTCTCGTGTGGAGCGGTGGGTCGTATTCTCAAGTGACCCTCGAGGCCTTACTCACCCAAGTGGCGATCAAGGCTTCATACATTAAAGAGGCACTCAACACTGGACTGGAGGGGGTGGATGTCAGTGTGTGTGTGTGTGTGTGGGGGGTTGACAGTACCGTACCTGGACACCTGAGCGGGAGGGTGTGGGTGGTAGGACAGGTGTGACGGCCTCTGTCCTCGCATCGCCTGCTTCCTCACCACCTGTCCTCGTCCCCTCACCAGTTTGGAATCCTCAGGACACGTCTCGAGGGAGAAAAAGGAGGACGAGGGCACGGCGGGGACACGAGACGCCGCCGTTGACATAGTGAAGGTACTGGGCATTGATGGCAGCAAGGGTGTGGGGGTCATGTTGCCGTCGTGGTCGTCGTCGTGGTTGTCGTCGTCGTCGTTGTGGCAGTCGGTGAAGAGAGCCAAGAGGTCGGCCGTACTACCACAGTCCTTCATACGCAGACGACGAATCTCATCGTCTGTCTCCTCCTCGTCATCATCATCGTCACTATAACTTCCTGACGAGTCTTTACACGAGCCAACACCACCACTAACAATACTACCCCGGTCTCCAAACTTTTCTTTATAAGTAGCGTCTCCAGTGCCGTCCTCCAGGCCCGTAGGAGGAGGAGGAGTATTAAGTATGGGAATGTCTCCACTTAGGTCTCCTACACCATTACCACCAGCTTGTTCTCCTGGGTCGTGGAGACTAGGAGGAGGCTCGCAGGATGGCATGTCTCCATCTAACCACACCGAGGCATCCTTCTCACTCTCCATTATGTCTCTCTAACTTTATTCGACAAATCTTTACCAATATTTCCCTGTAAAATAAAAACCTCACCGTCAATCACAACAACAACAACCCAAACAAACAAACAAAGAACTAGAGGTATAAACAAAAAACAAGAAAAATGTCACATCACGAGCCTCAAACCCCCCTTCACACACGTAGCCACTCGTTCTAATAAGCCTTACACTAACTAGCTCAGTCCTAATCCAATTCTGACGAGTTATATACAGCCCCTGAGTTAGGTAGGTTAAGGTAAGGTAAGGTTCAACACGCCCCTAGCCACATACCATCTCTCGTATCATAGCTTGTCTGTGTGTGTGTGTGTGCTACTTCCCTCCCCATATCTCAAAACAACTATTTAAAACACTAACACACCATAAATAAACTCAGCGTAATGTTGATGTCATCTTGGCTGCTAAATTTATACCGTGTATCAATTAAACCAATTTAACAGCGGCGACATTACATCAAAAGTTAACACAAAAACTGGCATGTTAAAAGTCCGTAGGTCAGTTTGTCTTCTCACAACGGTGATGACTTAAGCCTCTAACCTAACCTAACCTGACCTAACATAACCTGACCTAACCTGACCTCACCTAACCTCACCAGTCTAAGGTTTTCAAAGTTGGCAGGAATGCTATTTTGTTTAACTGTGTGTGTGTGTGTGTGTGTGTGTGTGTGTGTGTATACATACCGGTACACACACACACACAACCCTCGACATGATCCCTTAAGCTGCCCAGGAATAAGAGACAAACAAACAAACATGACGTCAAACTATAACTTTAAAGACTATAGACGCTATGTATGTATGCATGTATGTATGAATGTATGTATGGATGTAATGTGTGTATGATGACTATGGGAGGAGTTTTCTCACAACTACTACCACTGCGGCTACCAATTATCACGCCAGGTGAGCCAAGACGACACACCTGTATTAGACACCAGTTTATTTACTCACCATTTTAACATGACTCAGTATATCGTAGCTAGTACACACAGTCACGGGGTTATATTGATGTCAGTGTATTACACACACACACACACACCACCTGGTGTCTCCATGACCAGCCCAGGCCTGGGCCATCAACTGTAAACTATAATAATTTGTATGGTCAATCATTGTTCCTTCTCCTTTTAGTAACGAAAGCTTTTGTTAAACGACCCCCCATGTCTTTGTATGTAATAAGTCATTTTTGTCCAATGCATATTTTCAGCCTTCGGGCTGCAGAACTTTTTCAATAAACCGTTAATTATTATTTACACACACACACACAGTTACGAGGGATACAATCGTTAACGTTATAATGCTTTTAGACAACACGAACACCATAGTCAAACACCGCCACTTACACCGTCCCAACCACAACTGAGGCACAGGGAGGCGGGCAGAGTTTAGTTGTGGTAGAAAATGTTGAGACTCGCTAAGAGATGTGTTGGTGTGTGGGCCGGATGTGCTCAAGAGGGATGTGGTGACAGTGGTTGTGGTGGTGAGAGTGATGAAGACGACGATAATGTTGATGATAATGATGATGATGATGATAATAATAATAATAATAATAATAATAATAATAATAACAATAATGACAATGGTGTTTCTTTAATCACCAAGTATATAAACAAAAACGACAAACTCTAGGGAGGCCTAATCTTGATATGATCTCATTGATGGAATACAGTAGAGAGTTATTATAAGCAATGACTGTATTATGGATAAGATGATTCATATACGGTACAAAGCGGCAACACTTGGGCAGCAATAAAAAGTAAATAAATTATTATGCTGGACCACCACTCCACGACCCCCTGACGGAGACACGAGGATCCTCCCCATACTGGCCAGATATTTTGTAAATAACATTGATTATGTGTTAAAGGAATATCCTTCCTTCCTTAGGCTTTAGTAAGCCCCTTTATAATATTTATACTGTATATACTTGTGACACTTGCCAGATGCTTCTGGTGTCATTGTACAGGGGTACCTAGTGACAGCACTAGGATCCCGCTTCCTCTATCAACGAATAAACAATTGAAATTGAATTGAATAAATTATTTCCGTTTATTTTCTTTCCCGTCTAAGTCATTTTTATCCCCATTTTCTCCCCCTTTCATTTCTTATTTATTTCATTTTTCTATTCTCTTATTCCTTCATTTCATTTCTTACTTGCCTTTATTCCATATTTTTCTCTTTCAGTTACAACCACAGTTACAACACGCTACCACAGTTACAACACGCCACCAGTCACAACACGCTACCACAGTTACAACACGCCACCAGTCACAACACGCTACCACAGTTACAACACGCTACCACAGTTACAACACGCTACCACACACGTACGTCTCCCCGCAATCTTTCCCATTCTCATGTATATAAATATGTTTCCTGTTCAACTCCACACGGTGACGCCCTCGCTCATCTTGGCCTCTGACGTGAGTACTGGACAGCCATACCGTGTGACCGACCTCCACGTCATTCCCCCTCACCTAGATCCAACCACGTCACCCCACCCACCCCTCACGGCACCTCTTTGACGTCTCACACTACCCCAGCCGCCGCACCTCTTTGACGCCCCCCAGCAGGAGCCACCCTCACCTCCCCACCACCGCTTACCGATCCTACCCCCACCTACATAACCACGCCTGGCCGCCACGCCACAACAGCACCACATAAACATAGCCAACATAACCACACCTCCCTACCTACATACATAACCAACAGTCAAGAGTATTCACAAAGCCAC